GGAGCCTGCCGAGAGGGGTGCGAGCAGCTGGCGAGGGCTTCGGGACTCTGCCGTCCGTAAGTCGTTTGATGCTGCGTGGACTCGTTAGGGTGAGCCGATAATAGGGTGTTTTTTTCTCAAATAACTTAACTCCTGGGGTCTGCTCTGTGGTACAGCTGTGCTTTGCACCGCAGTCGATGCAGGCGCGGGGGATCAGGGTTCAGGTGTGCAGAAGTGAAGCACTGGTGGTGCAGGTGACAGAGCAGCCCGCTGTGGCGGAGAAAATACTAAAGGGATGATGAGGGTTTGATCCCGCTTATACTGAAGCTGTCATCTCTGGGAAGAAAATGATTACAGCTGCTGCCAGCCAGTCCTGGGGAAATGAAGGCCTTTGAGAAACAATTTAATCACTCTTTAAAGACATCTGGAGTCGTGGCTGTCTGCTCTGAGAATCATTTTTCTTTAAATGCTCAAAAGCGAAGCAAAACATTTTGAATTAAATATTACAGATGTCAAGAGTGAGTTACTCTTTAATCTGCTCTTTCTGTTGCTGGATAATGGAAAAGTTAATGTATATAACTTGGGAGGAGCTGCACATCAAAGGCCTTTTGCTTAGTCTTTTCACATATTTGTGATGCTTTAGCGCTTAAGTGAAAAGCATTTAGTTAGAAGGGATTTAAAAACAGTGGTAGAGGGGGGACAGATTTGAAGGCACAAAAAGTCTGGGTGAGCAAAGCTAGTTCAGCAGTGCAACTGAGCCTGCCACTCTGCAAGACTTGAACCGTCCGGGCTGGCATGCTCCCAGACTTTTTTTTTACTTCACTGCCCCAACTGGAGTGTCTCTCTTGTCCCTTCGGGCAGGCACTGGCGCTTGTGTGCTTGCTCAGTGAACTGGTTCAGGGAGGTGATCCAACTGAAAAGTAATGCTACAGAACAAAGTGACCACAGCAGCTCCCTGAACTGGTTCACTTTGCGATTGTTTGAGCAGCATCCAGTCTTGCATGTATGCAAGAAAACAGACCTGTTTGCGTGACTGTAGCAGTTCTGTTTAGATCCAGACACGCTGCTGTGAAACTTCATCCCAAGGCTGTACTTTAAGCTGGCATTGTTGCAGGAAGGAGCAGTGTTCCCTGCCTCATTCCTGCCCCTGTGCTCCTCCCTCCCTTCCTTCTGCTGGCAGAGCTCTGTGTGGGGTGTGTTTCAGAAATCTGGCTGCAGCTGGACCCTGAGTTGCTTTTGGGGTTTCCTCTTTTTTTTTTTTTGGCGAGACTGTTTTTACCCAAGGTAGGCTGGCTCTGCAGCTGCACAAGTGCTGGGGCCCCTGTGAAGCAGAGGGTGGTGCTTTGACAGGAACGAGTACTCATTGTTGGGAAAAGGCAGATCTGCTTCTCTCTTAACCCAGCTGATTTATGCTGGTTCCAAGTGTTTGGCAAACTAGGGCTTTGCAGTACAATCTACAGTCAAGTACAGTAAAGAGAATGAGTAGAGCAGGAAGGATAGAATAGAATTTTTTTATGCCAAAAATGGCACTAAAGCCAACAGGGTAGTAAAACTACAGTCAGAAGTGAGTAGCAATGAGATAATACACCCTTGCTGCACCAAAATGATGGAATTTGGTAGACTAGTGAACAAACAGTTCCTGAAATACACGCCTTCATTTGCTATAACAATTGTATTGTAATTGCTGCTGATTCACATGTACATTAGCTAGTATACTGTAATATATTTCAGAGGACATCTGAAATCTGTGGAAAACAGCAACTGTTGTAGCATTATGTAGACCTACAGGCAAATGAGAGAATAAAAGTTTTACTCTACATTGCCTTGTTAGAGTGAATATTTCAAAGGGACCTAGCAAGTAATTTTAATGTGTTCTTCTCAGAATTGCATCCCTAAGAGGCCTGTGGAATCCAGAATGGGAGGGTCTGAGGCTGGAGCAGGATGTATCTACGTGCAGAAAATGCATCAAGTTAGCATGATCTCGTGTGATTTTTCAGGCATGTGAGTCCGAGTCAGTTACAGTGGCACAAGCGAGATCAGATGCAAGCGCCAACAATTTTTCATGAGTTAAATGATTCCTGAATGGGTTCATGTGACATCAGAAGGCTTAACCTGATTAAAAAGCCGTAACATGTTAGCTATGCAAATAGATGTGAAGCACCACTTAAATATTTCTTGGCTTCTGCCTCATGAAGTGTATACTGCTGCAGTTCCTGTAACCAGTCTGAAATTAGCTATGCTTATGGGGTAATATATTTCCAGTGTTCCCCATTAATATCTCATTGTAGCTAGACCACTTCAGGGTTTTCTAAACAGCAGTGTGTGCTGGATTTCCTTTTGCGGAAACTGTTTTGTGATAAGCAGTATTCTCTTTAACAATTAGCACTGCCTTTTAATCTCTCACTATTCCAGATACATAGCAAGAGATACCCTAAAAGCAGCATGAGTTTGTATGTCGACTAGTTTCAGCCAATGCACAGCTCTCAGCTCCAGTTGCAAGTTGGCCTTTTGTCTTGAACGTTTTGAAGGTCATATAGGAAAATTTAAAGGACAGAAAGTGATACTGAATATTGAAATTGTTTAAGCTTGAAGTGAGAGAAGGGGCTAGCAACAGGAAGAGGCAAGCTGTTCTGTTTTCTTTTATTTCTACATCGCTACGTCCACGTCAGAAATGATTATAAGCTTTTTTTTTTTTTTGATGGTGATGGGTTAGGACAAAAGAAGTGTCCTAGTCCTCACAGTGCAGTTTGCCATAGAGAGAAGCTTTTTCATCCCAAACTTACCTCCACTGTGGGGGTCATTCAGTTAGCGTGTGGAATGGTACCACCTCCTTAATGCTGGGAATAATGCTTTTGCTTAGGGCTTGACACTGACTGTGAGACAGTGTGGAAAGTTGGCTATATTGCTGTCTGGATTCAATTATTGTGTTTTCATTGTAATTGATAAGTTATGTTGTTTTGTTTGTTTTTTTTTGTTTGTTTGTTTTTTAAGTCAGTTTATCAGCAATACTGGCTGTATGAGTATGCAGATAGTACAAGGGAACGTTACTCTGGGGTAATACTGGGAAAAGTTTAACCTCTGGCCTCCGAAAGCCTCTGCTCCTTATCTTATATTGTTCTCTCCCTCCTACAATAATCCCTTTGCCTTTGAGTTTCCGCCCTCACCTTTCATTTCACACCTTCCGTACACACACCACTGCCTCTGGTTTCTTGCGTGTTATTTGAGAATTCTGTTTAAAGGGAAATGGGTTTTCGGAAGCTCACTTATGCATCTGAAAATACTGCGATTTGAGTGTTGTTTCAGCCAGACATCTTCCACAGATCCTAAAAAGTAACTGAATGAAAAGAAGTAACGAGTGTAGGCTTTTACTGATAGATGCTGCTAAATATGTTGCCTGGTACATTTGAGCAGGGCCTGTATGGGAATGCCACGTGGCGTTCCTTTTCCATGAGTTAGTTGTAACCAGGTTATTGAAACTAAGCAGTGATGTAGTAGTTGCACGTTAACACAGACAGGGCTGTCGTTCCTATAGCGGAGTGTATGGCTGGTTGGGACTGAGGTTGTTTTTGGCAGAGCGGTGTGGAAGAAGTCTTCCAGTTTCATTTTGTTCTGTGATTTAAAGCCATTGTTCTTTTCTCTTTGCGATAACATTTAAAGTATCTTGCCATGAACTGGAATGGATGTAATGAGTCAAGTGCAGCGTTGTTTTTGAATTATTGCCTGGGTTGTGGGGGAAGTTACGTACAATTACAGGTTTTAAGGATTATGAATGCTGATAATGATCTTACCTAAAACTGCATGATTTTTTTTGTGCACTCAGCAGCATTACTTCTGGTTGCCACTGGTGTTAAGTGAGATCAGAATCTGTGCTCCACAGGTGCCTTACAGAGCAGAAGTGTAGGTATCCACCAGGGAGGCAGGCGTTGCACATCCTCAAAAATACTTCTTGGCTGGAGAGCTGTTAGGTGTGAGCAGAGTTGTGCTGGGCACCTACTGCCAAGACAGTCTCGCTCATCTCAATCGCGGGTGACTGAATTACTGCTGTGCCCAAACCAGTAAAGCCCTGGGACTTGGCATTAGCCCTAAGAAAGAGACTGTGTGTATAATTTCCCATCCAAGAGGACCTCTTCATATTGTGATGGCAACTAGAGACCTATATTAATAAGAAACAGTACGGTACTGATTATTTTCCTTTTTAATTTGACACATGTTTATCAGCTTTGCTCTGTGATTTACAGCTATCGTTCTTTGCTCTTTATGATCACATTTAAAATAGGGCGCTTTTTTGGCTGGATAAACTGATAGCCAGTCCTCTACATGGTGCTACTAATAGTGAAGAAATGACAGTGAAGGTGGATTAAATTTAGCAATAAGAACACTACAAACATATGTCTTTAGTAGTCAAGATGGTCTCCTAACAAAACGTCACCTGTTTGTGCACTAAATGTTTTTTACAGAATATATTCTTGCTCTTACCAGGAAGTGAGAGCTCCTAGTGCTTATGACAGGTAAGTGCTATGAATTAAAATAGTCCTTGTTTTCAAAGTTATGCTATCTGTATGACATTTGTATTTTTGGGTTGTTTTCTTATGTTTTGTTAGATAAAGATAAATGAGAAAAGGTAGTTTTGGCAACATTTTCAGTGAGAGCAAAAAGGCACCAACAGTAAAGCAAGAGGGAGCTTTCCTAAGGGAGAGGAGCTAAGTATTTAGCTGTAAGTGAGGTCTGAGTTTCCTTGAAGCAGTTTATGAAGTGTTTTCAGGAATGACGTGCAGTACTTTGCTAGCAATGTTATGTCTTCTGAAGAAATGCTCTTTTCCTTCTTCAACAAGTTTCCCTTGGGAATTAGAGGGTTTACTCAGCAATGCTCTTATTTCTACTTCAGAATATCAGATCAGTTGTTCCTTTACTGGTGGCTACTGGTGGTGGCCTTGACAGGTAGAGGTGTTATCATCACTGTACAAACTATTTCATTCTGTTGTGAAGCCGTGGTGAGGGTGCCAGGACTCTTTCTTTGCTACTATCTTTATTCTCGCTATCGGAAACCTGGATCTCCAGTGTGGCCAGGATTACTATGGTCCAGCTGGCCGACTTTCATTCCTTAATAAATATCACCGTAGTGAACTTGGAAGGCATCCTTCCCCATGTTAATGCAATTAGCTCTAAATACATAAACTGATCGACATAACAGTCTATTGTCATTCCAGCTACTTAGCTTGAAAGTAAAATAAAAACCGGAGTACAAGGGCAGTGGTTCCTAATGCCGTGAGCTGTGACCTGCTTGCTGGACAGCTGAGTCCGGAAGTAGAGCACACAAGAGATTGCGAAAGCCCAGGCAACCACTGCCCACATCATTGTGAAAAGCAGGAGCTGAATCTGCTTCTTTGGAGCACAATAGAGACAGTGTATGAGATTACTTTTTGCTGGAGAAGGACCTTCATCTCTTCCTGGTTAAATTGGCGTTACGCTCATTTCCTCAGATGATACTTAGATTCTTCCTACCTGACTCTTTTCCTTTTCTGAAATCTTTGGAATGGACAACATTTTGCAGTTTCATTCTTTGACCTTCAGTAAAGTAAGTTTATCATTGACACTCAATTTCTTTACTTTCTGATGGAAATTATGTTCTTTTTCAGTTGGTTATTATAACACAAAAGCATTTTGGGAAGAGTTTCAATACTGTTCTTGCAAGAGTTGCACACAACTTTTAACATGCTTATATGTGTAGTAGGAAAATCACTTAATCAAAGTAAAGCTTATTACAGTCTGTAAAATGCAGAAAATAAGATTTCAAATCAGTGAGGAAATTCTCATATCCTAGCCATAGTAGCTGCATTTACGAAACACTGGGCAATGAGGGGCCTGGCAAATTTAGGATTCATTTAATATGTGTGAGAAAATCATAATAGCATGGTGTTGGAATATATACTACCTTGGCTGATAAGGAAGACGTATGAATTGATTTGCTCTCAAATCAAGTCACTGTAAGTCACTATAAAACTAAAGAGATTAATAAAGGTGATATGTTGCAGTACAATAGTTGGGAAAAGCTGTTTATGTATAGGTGAAGTTGCAGAGACTTTACATTTCTTTTGTGACTTCTTGGCTTGGGTGTTGGAACCTGCAGGACTTTGAAAACAGCTGCTCTGCATGTAATTGAGGAAATCCATTTTCTCTTTAAGCAGTCAGTAATAATCGCACCAAGAGAGATTCCTGTTTCTGAAAAACACTGACTAGAAATATTTCCCCATTTACTCAAATTCAGGTCTTTCTGAATGAGGCAGTTAACGTTTTTCAGTCCACAGGACTTTAGAGTCCCCTCAGGCACAGCCATTAGATTTAGCGGGACCCGCTGACCTTCAAACCTAAGAATTTAGGATCAAATATTGATACAATTAAAGCTGAAGAGGGAAGTGGATGGGGTACTGACACCAATGCACGTAAGTAGGGAAATAATGAGTAGCTAAAAGACTCTTTTGGATTTAGTCACATAGGTGTATTTTGGAATTGCCAATATGAATCAGAATTTTCCCATTTGTTATTTGCATAATGTCATCTGGGGTTCATGAACCTCCTTCAGAATATATACGATCTTTGGACCATCCCAAAAATCCTGGGAAAATCCTCAACTTGAAGATGGTGGTTAATCTGGATTAATCTGGTGGTTAATTGTGAGTTGTTGTCCTGAAACATTTTACTGCAAGTGTTAGAATTGTGACACTGTATTTTCACAGGCTGAGCAAATGCTTGCCCTTGTGCAGCTAATGATTAGTAACTTGGACCATGTTGATTCAAGCACCTGTCAGTAATGCACAGAACATCTTAGTGTGTGCTCCTACTCAAAATAAATCTGCGCCTCCTTGCAGGGCACCAGGATTCATTTGAAAAGTTGGGTACCAAGATGCCCAGATTCAATATTACTGCACGTGGACAATTGTTTGAATAGGACAGCAACAGTAATCTCTGCTGTGTGTTGTTTGAGTTTGGGTGGCTGCAGTGTTGCAGATGTTTGCTGGTACTGAATTAGATAAGGAGTAGTAATTGGCATTGAAAATGGGTTACCTCAAACACCTCACTCTTGTCTGGCACTGTGTAGTTTGGAAAGGACAGTGGTCCGGAAATGCTTGCGGCAAGATTGTATTCCACACCCAGAGACTAAGTGAAGCCTTTTTCCTCCTTCTGCTGGCCACGTGAGTTTATGCTGGTAATGATTTACTATGGGCAAAGTATACTGCTCATTAGTTTTATATTTGCTAAGTTATCTCAATAACTTACAAAGATAGGAGGGAGTAGCTAGATTTGACTGTGGCTTTGTCCACAAAGTCCTGTATGTTTTCAAGTTTAAGAGTTTAAAGGCTATTCCTTACAACTGCTTGGAAGCACAGATACAACTGAAAGCCTGAGAAATGTTAATCTTTCCTCTGATCTAACCCACCTGTTTGGTGAAGTGGTTTGTGCTCTCCATTGTACTTTATGATTTCTGTTTCTAAGGCAAAGTTTAGAAAGCAGCGTTGGCAGAGATGTGGTTATCATGACAGATCATCTTCTTCTGTCTTGCTTAGTTCTTACTTATGTTTTGCAACCTGTTTTCTCTTTCTTTACCCTGTTCCCTCCTTTCTGATCCCTCTCTGACGTTTTCCTTTTTTCCTCCCTGTCGTCTCCTGCTTTGCCTGTGTGCACAGGATGGAACTCAAGATCTCCTGTAGCGGAGGAAGGAGCTGCTCTTCCCTGTGATTCTAAAAGGAGTTAATCTAAAAGAGGCTTCCCAGCATGTTCATGCAACAGCATGTTGGTGATAAACAGGCTGCTGATCTGGTGTGGTCAAAGTTTGCCTCTCTACTAGTAAGGTAGGAGGGTGAGAATTATAACTTCTCCAGGTTAGATTGTTCCTGAAGGTCTTGTACTTGAATTTCACTATGAAAAATACACAGTGTACTTTGCGTGTTTGCATTCCAGCTGCCTTACAAGCACTGAAGAGAAAAAAGAGGTATGAGAAACAGTTGAGCCAAATTGATGGGACGCTCTCAACCATTGAGTTCCAGAGGGAAGCATTGGAAAATTCCCATACCAACACAGAAGTGCTCAAGAATATGGGTTATGCTGCTCAAGCTATGAAAAAAGTGCATGAGAATATGTAAGTGCTTTCTACTAGCTTTCAAGATGAGCTTACTAAACACCTATAAATCATTTCATCGCTTGATCTGTTGTACCATGTTAGCCAGTTTTGACTTTGTTTTGGTTCAGGCATTTAATATCAGGAATGCTGTTGGTGCTGTAATGTTATATTTGGCAGAAAAACATCTCTTCTTAACAGCAAATCTGATGGGAAGTCCAGCTAACACAGGAAGTCCATGTGTTTTTAGCCATATTAAATCTATCTTGGCAGTAGAGATCTGGAAAAATCAAGGGCAGACGTAGAAGAGATTTGCAGAAATTAACTGAGCTCTTTTCCTCAAAGCTGGACTGCGTGATTCAAAGTGCTAGTTAGATCCAAATAATAAAAGAGGGTAATTTTTTTTATAAATATATATATATAGTGATTTTATATGTTCCATATTGTTCGATGGGGTGTTTTCCTGCCTGAATAAACAGAGTTAAATCATAAGAGGTTGTTCTAGGAGAATAAACAGGAATTGAAGCAATGGTGAAGTTAACAATAAGGGGAAGCTTTTAAATGGGGAATAGTCCTGTTAAGTTCCCACCAGTTCTGGCTGAAAGTTTAAGATCAAAAAAGGTGCATCTGTAAAGGCGCTGAACTCAGGAAGGAGATGGGGTCTGCCCAGGGAATGTGACTGTAGGCTGACAAACGCATAAGAAGCACAGAGTGGGAGGAAAACACAGACTGCTGCAGTCTGACTTTTGCTGTAATTCCAAAGTGGAAGGAATTGGACTGGCTAAGACACGCAGAAGCTTGCCAGGAAAAGCTAAGGTGTAGGTGAAGGAAATTATTCCCCCTGAGTTCTGCTCCTTCTTTTTATGCCCAGGGATATATAAAGTACAGTCTATTTTGAAAAAGGTGTTTCTGAGTCTCTTCCGTAGGGTTTGAATGATGCATCTTTAAAAATTGTTTCCATGTTATTTTGCCAGGGACTTAAACAAAATTGATGATTTGATGCAAGATATCACTGAACAGCAGGATGTTGCCCAGGAAATTTCAGACGCTATCTCAAACCGAGCTGGCTTTGGCGATGAGTTTGATGAGGTTAGTACTTCAGTAAACTGTGAGTCTTGACTATAAAATGACCCAGTGGTGATTTTGTTGTGCAGTGGTTTGCTCCAGAAGTTTTTTATTCAAAAGGTGTGATTGTAAAATTACTTGGTTCTAGCTTATCCTATTAAGGACATTTTATGCCTTTTTTTTTTTTTTTTTTTTAAGGAAGTTTTGACTGCACACCCATACTTGTTATTCTCTTTTGTGCTGTGGAAGGAGGAGGTCACTAAAGCACGTAATTTTTTACTCCTCCAAAAGGACCCTGAAACATATAATTTGTTGCACTCCAAATAGAAATCTGTTGGACTAGGTGCTATTTCTATTACTGCACGATCATATTAAAGACTATTGCTCACAATTCTGAATATTTGGGCCAGATTTTAAAGGGTTTTTTGATGCCTGGAGATGCAGGTCCTCTCAGTATTTTCCAGAATTTCTACAGAAGCAGATTAATTAAGTAGAAGTTACTCCTGTTGGAAGCAATGAGAATTCAATCCTCGAGTTCTTTTCATTTGAAAACTTCACAAGGTATCTAATACCTTCAGAAAATTTGCTGCAGGAGCTTTCCAGGGTCCCTGGACTTGATTTTATGTATCTAATCAGGCCACTACTTGTTTCTGATCTATCTAACAAGTATGGTTGAGTACTCAAGGGTCCACTATATTTGTATTTTTTGCGATCTGTGGAATGCAGAGCTGGTGATCAGGTTCAGTATTGCAGCCGGTTTATTTTTGTTTTTAACTGTGTTTTAAAATGACTAAGCCATAGAAATCATTTAAAGAATAACCTAAAGAATCAAAAAATCCTCCCCCAACTAATTCATTCCCATGTACCCAGAAGAAGAACAGATATGGTACAGCACATGCATTCTTCTTTGCTTGATTTTTGTCTGTTTATTAAATATTTATCTTTTTGATAGTTTGTTGAAAAGCAGTAGTGGTTCTTTTTATTTTTTCCCATTGTCTGCTTTCCTGTCTTTCCACTTGCAATGTAAATGAACTTTTCTACAAGCGTTAATGAATACTAGTGTAAGGAATGGGATTCAGGCTGTATAAACTGGGCCTTGGACAACTGGAAAACACCTCTGTCCCAGACAGCTATACAGTGTCACTTAGCATCAGTGCTAATTTATAGGGGTCTAGGCTCAGTAAGCATGTTGTAGGATTGACCTGAAAGTTCCTAACAGATGCTAATCTTAGTTGATGGGCATGTTCAGAAAGGCCTATTTTAGCAAAATAAGCCACTGTCTCTTATGTGGGGCATCGTTGTACCAGTACCTTGTTTTGCATAAGGGCCAAATGGAGCACTTGCCCAGTAATTGGGAAACCTGGTTCAAAGGCCACTTCATCTTAGGAGGACTAGCATCAATGACTTGATCTCTGTGTTATGAGGTGATTTGTGTTGGAGGATGATATTTAATTTTATTTTTTGAAGGGCATTTTGACCACATGCTTGTATTCCTCACCTGTGTACCGCTGGGTGCAAGGAAATCGTTGGAGCACTTCTCCAAATAGATGCAAAAACATAACGATTCTTTGTCTCTGGGATGACACAGTGTATATATAATGAAGAATGCAAAAAACCTCTACTTTACCTGAGTAGGATACTCATTTGGGGAGAGGCGATCCTTCCTTGGAGACCTGTTTCTGATAATCAAACATGAGATACATGCACATTCCAGTGGGCAAGGTCTGGAACCCAGATTCTGCTCCCCTCCACATGACTCTCCCCCCTGCTCTCCTTCTTGGCTCGACTTCAACAGGAAAAAGAGGATTCATTGCATCTATTGCAGTACTCCACAGCCTAGTTGTGGGGCAGTTGTTGAGTTGTGGGAAACACAAGTTCAAGCTGCTTAAGTTAAAACCTGAGTCTCTTACTTGCAGGGCATATATTCTAGCCATTACACTGTTACGCTGTTAAGGTAGGGATCATGATCACTATTTCCTTCATCTCTTTAAAAAAGAGCCAGCCCTTCATGTCTAAATTGCGTACTTGCTCAACAAGGGGAGGTAAGGTCTCATTTGGTGTCAGGGGGTTAGGTGACCCTGTAGAGGTCTTCAGAAATAGCTGTTTCCACTGACTTTATAAGGACTTAGACACTAATTTTTTTAAGAAGATTGTATTTACACCACTTATTTAGCCACTTAAAATACAGAAACATTTGCACCTCAACTAAGCGCCTATGTTAGACATGTGGTCCCACCCTGCACGTTTCTTTGAGAGATCTGCTATCAATTGAACATCATCAGGTGTAGGTAGACCTGATGCCAGAATTTTTAGATGACCTTCTAAAATTTGCACTATGCACAAGGTCAGACTGTCTAACTAGCCTTTTTTGGCCGTACAATAAATAAAAAAGTAAGAAAGCAGTTCTAGAAAGACATACGGTGGCTGTGTCATTATCATTTTAATTTCCGTGTTGGTGATAAGCAAGGTATAAATGGGTAGGCAAAGACCATTTCAAGAGCTGCTTTTGCCTGTTGCTTCTTTTTAAACCATTTTATCTAAGTGGCAAAGGTCCATTTCTCTACAAATATATAATTATTGGCTTCCTTTCTTTGGGATGCTCCTGCCAAGGAATAAATCTTTGGCTTTTTTTAAAGCATACAGCTTTTTTTAGTATTATAAAAGTAGGTTAGAACATCTGTCCAAATGAGCTTCTCCAGCTAAAATCCCAAGAGTGTTATGTGCGTCAAGAGTGAATAACAGGACCCAGGAGGACAGCTCTGATTCCAGCGCCGCTTTGAAATTGTATGCAATTCTGGACTTAGTCTGTTAGGGCTGTAGCCTAATGCAATTAATGGCAGCCTACCTTATAACCAGTAGAGCCTGGCTGCTTTGCCAAATGGAAGAAGTCATATTAAAATTAGAAGTAAGAAAAAAGTCGCATTAAAATACAGTTAAAAAGTATGTCTCTTAGATTTGGAACAAACCTAATGAAGGCGGTGGGACTTTTTTCTCTCTGTTTGCCTTTTAGACATGACTACTACATTGCTGTCAGTCTTCCCTCTTATTTTATTTCTTGTCCTATTTTTAACTTCTGTTGTCCTTATTTCAACTTTCAGATAAGTTGTTATTGTTATAGCCCACACTTATCAAAAGTTATACTGGCAATATGCTGTTTTCTGATATTTGTTTTCAGGTGTAAACTGTTAAGTCAGTACTGCTTTGCTTCATGATGGTTAAAAAAGCACTTGACTGAGATCACTGGCAGGACAATGAATTTGTAAATAATGTTTTCCTTGAATTTAGGATGAGTTGATGGCAGAATTAGAGGAACTGGAGCAAGAAGAAATGAATAAGAGAATGACTGATGTCAGACTGCCAAGCGTTCCATCCACATCACTGCCTTCTCGCCCTGGTAAACTGCTTGCTTGCCATTTTAAGTTTCCCATGGTTAAGCCATGCTGTGAGTAGGAGAGGAAGAGAGAATTCCAGATATGCATTTAGCTCTTATAACTTTTAATGTATTATAGGTTCCTTGTATCTGTTTATCAGTGGAAGAAGAATTCTGGTTTGCTGTATGGAAGCATTTAGAGCTAAATTCTTTAGAGGTTTGGGGATATGAACTCAGGGAACTTGTTCTTTCATATGTGTTGATACATCTTCTACTGAAATGTGTAGTGAGATCACTGCGGAATGGGAAGACTTTTTTTCTCTTTTTGGCAATTAAATCCTCAGCCTTCTTTCATTAGTCTGACCCAGATTCAAAATGTTTGTGTCATAGAGATCATCCTTTGTAGAGTAGGATTTGATGCTTACTGCTGGTATTTTAATTAGAAATGAAGGCGGTAACAGGAAGTACAAATTTAAAGAAATATTGTCATTCTTCCACTTGCTTTCTACAAAACAGACTTATTTCTGACATTAAGCAGAAGTCAAAAGTTAGATATACATCTGATATTTTTCTGTAGTCCTGCCCTGTTTGTTTTGAATTAAGCCAGAGACAGGCAACTGTTAACTATACCTTTCACTGTGTCCCTGATGTCTTTTATCCACGGAGAGAGTCACTGTGCACTGATGCTAGTAAAAGAATATAAATATTTGGCAGCAAGGACAGCACATGCATAGTGCAAATTGTTTGTGGTACATTCTGCTGCAGAACAGGTTACCTGGACCAGCTCAGCCCAGAGACTCTTATGTGTGTTTTGGCAAACAACAGTTAAATCTCTGAGTAGAAATTTAAAATGTTCAAACTGGGATCGTGGCCTCATCTACTCACGTAAATTGCACAACAGCTAGTAAAAAATGGACTTAGGAAGAAGTGCAAATCGCAGTCTTGGTCTGTAGGGCTTGTTCATATATCCTCTTCCAGATCCAGCTGCGCCAGCTGACAGGATTATTAAAGTTAGGCCACCCTCATGTGGTGCTTACTATCTTAGATTTGTTACTTCATGTGTTTGTATGACTGCTTTAGGCAAAATTTGCTGGGTACATTTATACAGTTTAAGTGTTAAGCAAGGACTTTAGCCCTTGCTAAACTTAATATTTAGGTGTCACCTGGCTCATGTTTTCTGAAACTGGATGTTTACTATTACATAGAAATAGTGAAATAATAACAACAACAGTTGATGGTTCTATAATGCTTTTAACTGGTGATGCATGTTACTTCCTGATTTTATAGATGGGGAAACTGAGGCAGAGGAAGGCCTAGTAACCTTCCCAAGCCACTTAGTAATCAGCAGTAGAGATGAGACTGTAACTCATGTCTCCTGTGTCCTTCTCCCGACTTAAGTCCCTGATGGTGGTTCTCACACCCCTGGTGGTATGCAACCCCTCTCAAGATGGTTTACTGTGGCTCCCAGCAGTATGGCTGCCACAGGTGGGAGCCAGCTGGCTCCTGGCATCTGTTAACATATACACAAGGCTGGTGGACCCAGTGAACTATTACACTGATGTTTGGAGGAATGCAAATCCTGACACAGAAAGCCCAGAGTTGGAGAGAGTCTAAGGCTGGGTCCAGGGCTGTTGGGCAGGCAGCCTGCAGATCAGTGAAGGAAATTGGGGGAATTTTGGGGGAATTTTTAGTTCAGGGAATGTGAAAACGTATGATAGTAGATTGGGAGGTTGGGGGAAAGATAGAGAGAGAGAGAGAGAGAGAGAGAGAGAAAATGTGTGTAGGACCTGGTACAGAGCTGGGAATTGCTGTTGCTGTGATCACTGCAGTTAACTGAGTCAGATGTCAGATGCAGTTAACAGATGTCACCTGAGCAAAGTATGTTTAGGAATTTGTTTCTCCTCATTAATGAGCAATACCTCTCCTTAAACTGGGGTGTATCTGTTTGGAGACTGGACCTGCCCATGCAGAACCCTTCAACAAGGCAGCAGGGTGCACAGCTGGCCATGGGTGGTGGGGTTGGTCACTCATGACTGCCCAAGTGAAGGCCAGAGAACAGGAGCTGGTAGCGTTCTCGTGCACATTCTCTCTCATTTATAGGGCCAAATATATTTTCTGTGGAGTCTTTCAGTAGAAGTTGCATCAGACTTAATAGTGTTAACCTCAGGGTTGTATGCGAACTCATGGTGGGGCAGAATAATCACATCTCTCACCAGCTTCATCACTATGTTACCTATATTTAGGTTGCTACTCAGTAAATCGATATGAGAGGTTCAAACTGAAAAGCGCTACGCAAGTCTTAACGCTAGCAAATAAAATGGTTTTCATCATTGCATTAGTCAGTGATTATTGTTAATCTCTCTCTGCAGCATCGACCAGGAAGAGAGCGGAAGATGAAGACGAAATGAAGCGGCTAGCTGCCTGGGCTTCGTAAGAGTGTAGTTTTCTTATAAAAGTGAACATCACAACGCAGATGTAAAGTGCTGTAATACTATTTTATAGCATTACCAACTCAGTGTGGTTGCATTTCATACAGACTGGGTTTTCTTTTTTTTTCTTTTTTTTTTAAGACAGGTCTTGCTAAAAAGAATTGTGTGTCTTCCATATTGCAGAACTGGTTTAAAAACAAAACTGGCAAAACTCCCTAGCCCTCCAAGGCCTAAAGGTTTTCCAGCCTTGGCCAGAGGTTTGTTTTGTTGTTAGAATGATGGCACTACGAGGGTATTTTTATCAGTATCAACTTTTCTTAGGTAATATCTTACTACTTCTTGCTATTTTGTGAGAACTGTATATCCCACTTAGGCACACACAGCTGGATTTATTATTGAAATGAAAGAGTTCAACAGATCTTCAGGGCCCTGTCCCAGTGCATCAATTGATTCAAGATATTTGAATATTAGCAAAACAGCGTAATGCAGGTCTTGACTTGTGAGCTCCTTTGAGTTCAAGAGCTAATAGCCATTCATTTGGGCATGTAGATTTAATCAGTCTGCCTGGAGCACCTTAAGGTATCCTAGATATAAAGAGGAGACCCTTCTAAAGAGGTTTTGAAGGAGAGAGAGTTTATTTTCTTCAACTTTGGCCAGGAACACATGTACACTTATACAGCCAGTCATGTTTCAAACTGTTTCTGATTCAATTAAAGAACAGTTTTACTGTGGTTGGGGAAAACAACTATGTCCAGGTTTTTATTCTAGATCCCTGTCAAACAAAATTGATTTCCAGTAACCCTGTCAAAGATCCAGAACCGTCCAGTGTTCCTACTTTCCACAATGCCTTTCTAGGGTGAGTCTTCACTTTGAAAATACCCATCCTCAAAGGAATTAATAACACAATTTTGGATTATACAACTTTAAAACAGTTTTCATTTATGAATATTCAGCTCCTGTTTGTGTTCGATTCCTGAATGGAAATGATATCCAAGTGTTATATTTGAAATGTCTTTTTAACTCTGATTAAAAGCTGGCAGACTATTCTGAATGCTTGTAAAGCTGATGTACGTTATTGCCTAGCTGACTACTTTTGGACTTGTGGAATAAATGCCACTCTGAGTGCTAAACTACTGTATATATAGAGAAGTCACTCTTCAAATGCAAAACAAAAATTAAATAGACTACTTTGTACGAAGAAGTTGTATTAAATAAGACTTAAGGTTTGTGCTATTAGCTTGCTGTCAATCACAATGAAATAGTAAAACACTGTGGACTCCCTAGGAAGTTGGGCAGCAGAGTCACACTGGTCTTGGTTTCTTGTTTTCAAATTAATCTAAATTCACTGGTGACTGAACCACTTGGGGAATAATGGGAGACTTAGTGTCTGTAGATCTGTAGAAACAGAAGACTGGCCACTTCCTGTGGTGAGCTTTAGCTTGTGATTTGCTGGGTCTAGCAGATGGCTTCAGCCAGGTACCTACTGTATTTTAGGTTAAGCATAAACCTTAGTGTGTGTGTGTTGTGGACATGGCGTGCTGGCATGCTCAGAACCTTTCCAGTTGAGTTTCATGGACGAAGCCAAAAATTTACAAACACTGTGGAAGTGACTTTCCCTTTTTCAAGACTCTTTCATTCTCTGCAGTGGAAATGCTTTTGGTTTGCATCCATATGAATGGAGAATTGAGCCTTGCCAATTTATTTCAGATAAATTTCCTATTTGGAAAAGATTAAGTGTGTAGTTCCACCCTAAAGTTTGGAGGCACCAAGAAGATTATGCCTTTCTGTTGAGGGAAAAGAAAAACTGGAAATATTCCATTTTTCTTTTAAAACAAGAAATTTAAAACACTACTTAAATTTAAAAATATATTATGAACTATCAGTAGGAAACAAAATGCTAAGAAAATGTCATTTAGTTTTAGTGCTTGCTGAAATTCAGGATAAGAAGCCAGCCAGAAGCCTCATTGACAGTCATAATTAGTAAAATAACAAATATTCTGAGTTATTTAGAATCCATTTGCTAAGCCATTTGGCTGGGATCCCATTTTCAAGGTTAAAGCCATCTATGAAAGCTTCCGAATTAGGTACAGAAAGCATTAGTGTACACTGATTGCATAACTGTGCAAGACTCACTGACCACGTGCTTATGAACACATCTGTTATTTGTAAATGTGAGTGAGGCCGTGCCAACATAGTCACATGCTTAGCTTGGAAAGGCTGGCTTCTAGCATTTGTTCTTTGTCAAATTAGTGGTTTTCCAACACTTAGCGCTTAGGTAACACTTACTGTATATAAGTGTTCGTACTACAGACTAATCAAAATATGTATCTCAGCTTCCAGTTTGAAACTAAAGTGATTTTTCAGTCTGTTTTGGAAAATGTGGACCTGCAGCTTTTGTGCGAGTATGTTCCATGTGAACCCAGCCCACGAGGAAGAAGAAATCATAGGGATAGCCTTCTCCTTCGCAAGCTAACGCGTGACTGCCAACCTCCCTCGATGGTTTGGCCAAATGCTGATTCTGGGAAGCTTCAGGTATCTTCACCTTGTATTGATTTCTCACCAGGCACTTTAAGAACAAAACTTGTAAAGGAGGGGGAATAGTAACCATGCTCATTCAGCTGAGCTCCTCTAAAGGCTCGAGTACAATGGCAGGTGTTTCAGGAGGACAAAGTCAGAGGCTAGGACACACTTGATTTGTGAGGCTGTTCTGAGAAGTACTACAGTCATGTATACCAATCAAAATATAGCATAGACTCCCATAAGTGGAGTGCTTGTTGCCATATTTGTGAGACGGTAGATCGGTGTTTTTCCTTCAAAAGCAATGGAGTTAGAGGGATTTACTTTGGCTGAGGAAGCAGCTCTTTTCTGTGTAAAGTCAGATGAAACTGTGACAACTGCCTCTTTCTTTTTTGAACATATGTCTCTTTTCTGTGCCAAGATGCTGTTTGTTCAACATGTAAGCAGATGAGCTTGAATAGTGTCAATGTGTTATTGTAAATGTACTCTCTATTAACTCGGACGTATTTTACAAGAGGACTCTGGAAGCAGATGGTGTGCTATAGCTCACTTCTTTTCCTGATTCTTATTTATTTTGGAAACCTTTTCTTCCCCTGAAAGGCTTGGACATTTTAATCTAGGTATCATCACAAAGGGAAAAGTATCTTAATAAAAAGTAAAAAATTTATATATGTGCTGTAAATAAATATTTTGGTGCCATACTCCTGCTGTGTGATTGTATTTGTTTTTCTATCAGCCAGCAAAACATTAAGTACTCTCTCTGCTCTGTAATTAGGATACAGTGCTGCTCTTAAGAGTCTGAAGGTTTTGGGAATTTTTTTTATGTTTTAGTTTTTGAAGTGAATTAGTTAAAAAAAAAACAACAATAAAGTATATCCTGTGGGGTCTGGGCTGCATTCCTTCAGCCTTAATAATTGTGATTGCAGGGATTCTTTATTTCAGTGTGTCCAAAACGCCTATTCTTTCTTTTTACTAGAAGACTTCTGTGCTTCAGAAATGAATATACTTCACTTTTCAGGCCTTAGTTGAAAGGTGGAATGGTCAAATCTTAATGGTCACACTGCTGCTTCTTTTTAAAGCCTCAAGGCCTCTCTGCCAAACTTCAGAGGACCTGTTTCAGTATAAACACAGGCCTCGTGTGTATGTACTGCTGTTGAGGGAAGGAAAGAAGGGGATGTATGTGGAATATTTGTAATGAGAATATCTTACAGCTTTTACATTATTATAATTCAGGCTCTGCATTGTGTAAGACTCTAGAAACATAAGTCATTCTTAAGACATTTTTGAGTCCTCCTTAACTGCAGGACTAGCTTGAATGTCTTGAGAAATGCCAAATAGCGCAAGTCTCATTTTTTATGTACTTGTCATATTTTCCTACCTCTATCCCAATTGCAGAGACAATTGCAGAAACCACCATTAAATCACTGCTCGGTCAAATTAATGTTGCAGGGAAAAACTGCTCAGTTCATGTAGTTTGATCCTGATTTGATTTGAAGTAGTTTACTGGTTTGTTATTGACACATAATTAATGGGCAGTCAGTACACCTGAGATGAACATTAGCAATGCAACAAATAATAAAACACAATACTAGTCACTTATAAACTGTTACTACGTACCTACAACAGCTGCCTTTAACTACGCCAGAAAAAACACACACCTCCTGTGGGGGATGCAAGGGCCCCTGCTCTGTGCCCCAAATGGTGGTGAGGGAGTCCCCCAGTGCACGAGGTCCTGGGTCCCCTTGTGGGCCCAGGCTCTCTGTGGACGAGCTGGATGCGGTGCCTGTGGGCGCTGCACGGCCAGGCCTGGGCAGAGCCCTGATGCTGGGGGGCTGCTGCTCGCCCTGCCTCTGCTCTGCTGCCCTCCCCATGCTACCCTGCTGCACGTCTTCCAGTTTCCTTTGCATTGTGCTTTAGCTGACCCAATTTTTTTCAAAATCTTGTGGCAACTCCCTGGTTACTGTTTAATCCAGCTGGTGGTCATCTTCCTCTTTTTACCAAGATCTGTTTCGGGCAAATGCCCTCTCAGGCAGTTTTGAGTGTCCCCTGCATGCACGCTGATGCTTCTGCCTTACGAGGTGATGTTATCCAGGCCGTTTTGCCAAGGCAGGGGGGCTGTGTCAGTACCCACGATAGGCTTTCTCAAACTCTTGCCATCTCATTCTGCTAGCTTTTAATGGTAATATGTGCCTAAATTGAGAATCTGATGTTTGTTAGCTAAATTTAGTAAAAATAGATGGGAGACCAATCGTTCTGAATTTGATAATTTTCCTTACTAATGTGACATCAGCTTTCAAGGATGCACTGTATTAGTGGACAAGGAATTGTTTTATGGCTCCAAATAATGTTTACATAGGTAGCCCCTCCTCTCCCCCCACTTATTACCATTATTTCCTCTAAAAGTAAAACATAGGCACTTTAACAGGAATGGAACTGTTCAGCTCTGTTTAATATATCAACAAATTGTATTCACTTTTGTGATTGGACTCAGCTTTACCAAAGGAACCTCCGTACAGCTGCTGAACTAACTGAAGTCAGCCAGGACAGCCTATATGCAGGCATATATAGAGTAATGATCTATACCTTATACCTACCTGTTGTATATACCCTATTGTACATGCCCTATATGTATATAAGGCTATTTAAGTGCCCAGCATACTACCATTTGCAACGGTCCTGCCCTCTCCAAGCGGCAGTGATTAGCTCCAGCAGCAGCAGGCTTGGACTCTGCGCACCTCCAGGTGGAGCTCTGCGTTCAGCATACGGCCAGGCTCAAAAGGCAGTGATTTTCACACAGGGCCTGATTTCAGCCTTTCTTATTGCTCACACAAGAGGGAAAAGGCTGGGAGAAGGAAAAATATAAAAGGGGGGGGGGGGGGGGGGGGGGTGTCTCCCACATTATACAAATCCCCTCTTGTTCAAAACTAAAATACTCCCTTAAAAACCAACTGACCTTCTGAGCTGCTTCTCTAGCCTCTTTCTCTTCTCCTGCCTTCCCCAGTCCTCAGCCACCTCCACTGGCACATCAGAGATGTGCTTTGAGGACACTCAGTTGGTAAGAGCTATTTCTTGGTCAAGTCAGTCTCGCTCCACCCTTGCTAGGATTCAGAGTACTTCCATCTGAGGAGCTTAAAGGTAATTTTACTAAGGAGAGGTCTTGTTCATCAAAGGAAACTGAGTCAGAACTGACATGTTCAGCAAGCAAGCAGGTTGGCCTCATTTTCAGAATTGGCTATACAGTCAGGCTGACTTGCGTTTAGCCTCTTTGACCACTAAGGAACAAACTCTGCAGACTTATTAGTTTTTCTAGTGCAATGCCTATGCATAATCAGGGTGGTTTGCTGAACTCTCCAGAAAAAGCTTTAATGTGTTTGAAGAAGCATAGCTACTCTCTGCAACACCCGGTGTATCCCCCTTAAGGTATCATTAGAGTTCTCCATATGCTACCAAATGTTCCTCCAGAAGGATAATAATAGTCTTGAAAGAGGAAACCATACAAGGACAATATTAGGAGCAAGGCAGTAGATCAGAGATGTAAATGGATATTGCTCTGATTCTCTCCCCATGCTTTGCAAACATATTCTTTACATCACGTGAGCAAAAGCTTGAGAGAATAAACCCTTCATCTTCCACTACAAGAGGCTGTCAGAAGGTCTCAGCTGAGCTAGAAACGTGCCAGTGGCAGAGAGAGACTGCAGTGGTGAGAGCAGGTAGCTCAGAGCTTCTCAGCAATCTCCAAAATCACCCTGCTTTTAACCCTCCCTCACCAAAGACACCTTTCTTTGGTGATACTTCCAGGACGAAGTGTTAGAGTGCTCCACCGAAAAATGCCTTCTTTGGCTGAGGTCATTGCAGCTAAAACAAAAAGGAGACAAAGAAAACTGTATATGGACGCAGAAGTAGAATGGATCATGTTACAGTCATAGGAAGGTCACTGGTAATGCAAAGTTTCAAAAGTTAATAGCTGAACTTGGGTAGCAGAGATCACCTCACACTTTTCAGGTTGAAACCTACAGCTCCCAATGCTTTGCAAAATGTCAGCAAAACGTGTCTAATTGAATTAGTTGAACAGTGAGCTGAAGTAAGAAAAAAATTTTTCTGCGTGGATCAAGAAATTATAGAAATGGCTTGTAATAGCATTAAAATGACTATGGATCTTACCTATATATTTTATCAGACACCTTTAGTCAGAACACAAAAGGTTACATTTCACAAAGGAGACATTAGGAGGGGGAAAAAAAAAAAATCACTGAGTAAATCCCAGGCAGTCAAGCCATCAATGTGTGTAGACTGAGAATCTGTCTAGAGATCAGATATCTCATATTTGATTAAATTGAAATCTGAGCTAACATTTGCTTCACTATTCCACTGTATACCATCATGGGCCTAGCAGGCCTAGAAACAAGAAGTCTGTATGTTGAGAGAAGAAATCTAGTGCTTTGACCTTTACAATAGCGTGAGTCTTGTGTGACATATGTCCTTTGAAAAGCAAAAGATCTAGGCCTTTCCGTGATCTGGTAGATTCGGATTTGAAACATTCACATAACGCACCAAGGATGCCAGTAGTCGTTCACAACACAGCGGCAGCAAACGTAAAAGTAATTATTTGCATATGCCCTCTTCCTCACGTTAAGAAACAAGCAAGCTTGAGCTAAATTTTCATTGTTTAATACCCCGTAACACATCAGTTTTTACATCAGTTTTGCAACACTGACACCTTATTTTTTAATTGCTTTTTTAAGTAGGGATGAGTGAGTCAAATCTGATTGGTATGTCAGATGAAAAAGAAATTAGCTCCACAAGAAGCTGACTTATCTGGGCTCTTCTTGTATATGTAAGCAGAAGCAACACCTTCATAGGCACATCACCATCTCCCTGAATGGCTGGTTTTAATATTTTCAAAAGATTCCACAGAATGAGACATTTTTTTCTCATCTACCTCTTGCCACAGAAGTTATTATCTCCTTGCTCAGATCAAATCTAAGAAGAGTTATGTCATGTTTTATTAGGTTTACATTATAACGACAAGCTATGCTAGAAGTTCTCTAAATTAGCAACTGATGCTGAAAACTTCTTCAGGGCAAGATTTTCCCTAAACATACAAACTAACTGCCATAATAGGGTGCCTCTCTCACCTGAAATCTCTGCTTGCCCCTGTAAGAGTAATGTACATTCTACAGAATGAGGGAGAAAGAGAAAGCCCTTCAAATCACAAGCTATCCACCCCATAACTTGGTTAGCAGAAGTGCAGAGAACAACCAGGAAAGAGCCACAGGAAATTCAAGAGGAGACATCCTGTAGGAGATTCATCACATGCCTCAACTACTTCTTAAACTACATGTATTTATTTATTTTTAAGCATGTGAGCCAGTAATAAGATCTTAAAAGGTCAATATGCAACTTTCTCCAGTTAGGCACTTGCTGGATGAGCAATGCTTGACAAACCTGCATAATTGCAAAATGAAAAAATGAGAAGCATTTCACAGAGTCATCCTCAGCATTTCCATTAAAGTGCTGTGGCTTCTTTTAGATGAAAAGCATTAACCCACAGGACTTTCAGAGAAAAGAGGCTTCTTTCTCACCATGTTCACGCAAAGATCCTCAAGTTTTCAGTTTAAACTAAAACACCCTCCCTCCCCCAAACAGAATCTGCTATTAATTAATGAGCAAGGATATTTAGATC